AAAATAGTAAAATAATTATATCATACGTAAATACTTGAAATAATAATTTAATAGTTAAAGTGATTATTTAAGTTATTTTTTGAAACACATTAAACTTATTGATTACTTTAATAATTCGTCCCTTTCTTAGTTCATTTAATTAGTGTTGGAGATTATTAAAATGTTGTAATCAAATTTCTGTTAATGAAATTGTCAAGTTTCTTTGAGAAGAAAGCATCTTTACTAATTTCCTTAGATTTCAGTGGTACTAATTGCCGGGACCAATCCAATTATGATGCTCAAAAATTCCAATTCTGGAAATAATTTTGAATAATATTTAAACATACATATATATATATATATATAAATTTATCCATACCCTCTTATATAATATAATATAGAGATATATTTATAAAAAATATCGGACTAAGTATGAAGATTGAAACTAGCAATAATTTTGATAATGATAGTAAAAATATCAACCACTTGTAATTTGATGAACCGTACCGCTGGGACCATTACCCTAATGAAATTTATAAAAATTAAAAAAATTTATTCTAAATTATTTTTTTCATATAAAAAATAATTATAATTAACAACAAATTAATTTAATTGGGATTAAATTATAAAAAAAATTTATTGTAATTTTTTTAATTTTTACGTCAATAATTTATATTTAATTGAACTGAATATAAGAGAGAAATTTAGTTTCAATATGCAAAATTTAAGAAAGTATTATAATTGCTAATTTGAAATAATAATAATAATAATAATAATAATTACCATCATTTGAATGATTTAGGTTTCCATTAAGTTTTAGTTTTGTTAGGAAAACGTTATAATAAATTTGCACATACAAAATAAATTAAAATTAAGATTAAAAATTAATAATCAATAATTAAGATTTTAAACTCAAAATTGGAACAATTTGTTTTTGTTAATTACTTTAAAAAAAATGCACATATAGGCCTTGGACTTCGGTTTCTATGTTTTAATTAAGTAGACTTTTTTTTTAAAAATTTCAATAATAATTTTCTCTGTTTGTTTTGTTTGATTTATATTAAAATGTAACAATTTTTAACAAATAAAAAATAGTTTTAATTTATATGAAGTATTGACTTTTGTCTTTGACCTCGTTAAAATTAAAAAGAAAAAAAACACTGCCTCTGACGGGTCGGAGTACATCACGGAGTTACCAGGACACCTACGGTATTTATTAGGATAAATTATTATGTTGGGTCTCAAGGTTGTTTTTAATGTTTTTTTATTATAATTTAATAATTATTATTGTTTTTAATTTGTGTTTTAGTAATTAAATTTGTATATATATATTTTAATAAAAACGTTAAAATTATTAAGTTATATTTGAATATTTTAAAAAATAACTTTAAAAACTGATTTAAATAATTAATTAAATTAATAAAAGTATTATGTTTGTTATTTTGTTGTATTAATTTATTGATTTAATTACTTAATAAAAATTACTTTTCATGTATTTTTAAAGTGTCTAAACATAAACTAATTATTTATCTTTTTCCGATTAAAAAAAAACTAATGAGATGAGATAAAGACTCGAGAGAGATCAAATGAAATGAGAAAGTTGAGTGGTTGAGAGAGATTGAGAGAAAGCTTCTAATTTAACCCGAGAGCTTCAAAGCTAAGAGGGACTGAGGGTGTCGTCATGCCTCTGAGGAATGAGGGGAAGAGTCAAGAGTGATGCAAAACTCAGAATCAACTATTAAAAATTGCGTATATAACATTAGTGTTTAGAATAATAAAACTCTCAACAAATCCTCTATACTTGATCTACATTCAACATATGAATGTCAACCAAGGTAATTGAGATAGTCTGAATTGATTAAAAAGGCCACAAGTACGAACTTGATAAATTAAAAATTAAATCGAAAGAAAATTAATAAAACGCCTTTTATTATTCTCAAAATTGATTCATTACAATTATGAATTGAAGATCTATTTATAGAGTATGACATGTGCATTATAAATAAATAAATCTCCTAAATTAATGGAAGAAATTATAATAAAATTAAATGTCATATTGAATGAGAAAATAATAAAAATTAAGAAAATTTTAACTATAATAGACTAAATAGGAATTCTATTTTAAAATGAGAATATTTTGATTAATTGTGAAGAAATTAGGAGAAATAAATACAGTTAATTAAAGTTGGCTATTAAAGGAGGAAAAAAGTCACCCATATCTTTCATAAACAGTAGGATTTAGTTATTTAAGGAATGAAATTTAATTTTCTCTTCATTTAAGATATCATATGGTTTAGAAATAAGTTTTTACTCTTGGTTGATTTTTCTTTCAAAAAAATTATTTTCCCTCTTCTTACTCACATCATCCCCTCCATTTTTAAAAATGATTCGTTCTAGAATCAGATATTTCTTATGTCTGGGTTTCACCAATTCTATTTTTTTAGAAAATGTATAATACCCGAGTCTGAGAATTAGTCTGGAATAATATTTTTATTTATAAAAAATTATATAAATAATTAATGTAATTTGATTAAAATCTAAGTTTGTTAAATTTTAAGAAAAAAATGGATTATGGATGAAATTGAAAATAATTTTTTAAAAAATAGGCGAAATTTTGAATTTATAAGTGTTTTTGAAAGAAAAATTAAAAATAGAGGCTTAAATCGCAATAAGAGAAAGTTTAGCTACGTGGGACGGTCAGTCAACAACTCGAGCAAACCAGAGCACGCTGCGTGGCAGGCAGGCTGACATCCACTCCACACGAGAGGCCATGCGGGCGATACGCATGCCTGGATGATATGACGACCTAGATTGTATCTCGCACACTTGAATGACCCATATGCATTTCTTCTTTAGACACGATCGGAGGACGAAATTAAATGCGATAGATGACCCAAATTTGTCCACATAATCAGCTTAAATGAAAAATAATCGAACGGTCCTCCTCGCTCCATGTGTCCCCGAACAGATGGTCCAGATCGACACAAGATGAATATTTAAACATCACGTCGCTAGAGACCTTAACCCTAGCCACATCTGCCCTCGTTGGAGAAGAAAAACCATATGCCGGAGAAGGAGGCCGATCACTGGTTGCCGCTACACCGGAGTTACCGTTGACTGCCAAAAAAGGTAAAAAAAAAATTTTCTCGCTCAAAATTCGATTTCAAATCTCCCTGTGGCCATACCGGAGCAAAAGAGACGGCAGGTGAGTCAAAAATCGTGGGCAAAGCCTGGCAGAGCTGCCGTGGCCAAAACCCTAAAACCCCTCCGATGAGTTCCTTTTCGTTTTTCGTTTCACACGATTCTTTGATCAATATGTTCACTTTCCCTTTCTATACATGTTAGCCAAAGAAAAAATCTCAGCTGTGAAAGAGAACCGACAAAGTCCCACCCAGAGACAGCCCCTACCGGTAGGTTCATTGTTTTGGTTTTTTTGGCTAACCAAGGCTTTTTAACATGTTTTTTTTGCAAGGATACATTTAAAACTGGATAAAATCAACCAGGCCAAGGGTGGTGGAGCCGGCACTGGAGCATGAAGGCAGCA